TTAATTTCTCAGGGCATAGCATTATTTTTCGTGTCACGTGTTCTCATACTTAAATTACTTCCTAGTTTTAAAAGGAATTAACATCGCAAAATGGCTGATTTTTATTAGGTCAGAAATTATCCACCTAATGTATCTGATCCAAAATATACAATTTTGTATCCTATTCCACAGTACAACAGACTACAGAAGTCTTACTCCTTTACACATTTTATAGCTTATACCAATTTTTAATCTGAACTAAAAACCTCTTTGCAATTTCCCAGTCTCTTATTTTCATATTATTTGTTATCGTATACAAATTATTCCAACCAGTTTGACAACTACAGTCTCTACTATTCTAGCCTTCCATGTAAACACAAGGTCTTGGAAAGACTTGATTTGACTATTACAAGTTAGGTGATCTTGGTTGACTCAAATATCTGATCTGGAACTTAGTTCCCTCATTAAAAAAAAAAAATGAAGATAACTACACTTGCCTTTTGCTATCTTTCAGGGTTGTTACAAAGACTAAGATTTTCAGAAACTGCAAAGCATGCTACAAAAATGTAAGGTACTACAATAAATATTTTGAATTCTTCAGATAGAAATACCTGGGGTGCCAAAAAAATGTATACACATTTTAGGCAATATTATCTGTTTATTATTTATGGTTCATGGTAATCAGAAGTGTCTGGCCGTTGATGGTAACGACTGAGCAATTCTTGTAACTGCAGATGTCAAACATGACTTGTATTCATTTTTTGTTAACAGTGAGTATTACAATTTTGATACAGTTTTTTCCTTTTTAAAAAATGTGTACACTTTTTTTGGCACCCTCTGTACGCATGATGTATTAAGAGCACCAAAAATTTAACTTAGTTGTATATGCTTACAAATTATGAATTTTTTAAAAATTGGTCATTAGGCAAATTATAATTCAGGAATATTGGAGAAAAAAATCTATATTTAAGAGAAAGGAAAGGCTTCCAACAACAACAACAACAAAATCTCTGAAATGATGTGATCCATGATGTTAGGCTCATTTTAGAAGAAAAATTAATAATACTAACACATCATTGCATTACTTCGAGAAAATATTAAATTATATTACAATAAATACCCAAATCTTTTGAACTTTAATTCAAATGTATGAACTCAAAACATTTTATACTTCTATTTTAACTAATCACTCATTGTTCAAGGTATTTGTTAAATCTCACTTTTTTACATTATGCAACAAAAATTGCACTATATGAAAACTAATTTCAATCCTTCAACCCCTCCCCCCTCAAAACACACTGAACTGCTACAAACAGCAAAACTGAATTTCTCCCTGACCAATCTGTAGGTGAAACAAGAAAACAACATAATGCTTGGAGGAAGGAAAAAAAGGAAACAAAATGGCTTCTGAGAGTTTATAATCTCGATCAGACATTGGCAAACTACTGCCCTCATCTGCTTTTATAAAGAATGTTTGGAATACAGCCACATCCATACTACTCTATAGTTGATTTTGCTGCAATAGCATAGATTAGTTGAGACAATGGAGACAATAAAGGCCAGTGGTGCTTTACAGAAGTTTATCAAACGCTAAGCTAGACAATTGAAAAGACAATATATTCCCAATAAGTCAAAATGTTTTCATTTATAAAATACTACTTCTGTTAGATCTAACTGATTCGTATTTTGACTCCACGGGATATGGTCACTCTGACCACTTCCGACTATCTCCACTACTACTACCTTGGTCGAAGCTACCATCTTTTCTCCCCTGGATTACTGCAACTACCTCTTATTTGATTCGTGGTATCTCACTCAATCCACTACTGTCATATCCTCAAGCAGAGCAACCAGACCAATTCCTTAACAACTTGTTAGATCATGTCTCTCCTTTGCTCCAAAACTTGCAAGGACCCCCATTTCACTCAGAAGCAAAATCGAAGTCCTTGCAGTGGCCTATAAAGCCCTCTATCAGTTGGACCATATTATTTCTTACATCTTGTATTACTCTCCCTTTCTCTCATTCCCTCTCCAGCCACATTAACCTCCTTCCTGTTCCTTGAACTACAGGACAGACATATTCTGCATTAAGTTTTCTATGACAATCATTCCTGCCTCGAACACTCTTCTTGAGACATCTGCATGGCTAGCTTAGGGACCCCAAGTGTTTGCTCAAATCTCATCTTAAAATGAGGCCTGCCTAGGCTGTTTCACTCCAAAACTCCCTATTCCCTCACAGTCCATGTACTGTATATGCTGAGTTCATCCCTATTACATTTATTGTGGGTCTTCCCTTCTACCCTACCAAGTCTGAACTGCAAGGGCCTGGAACACTGGTATAATTTGTGAGAAGATTAGAGAGAGAATAAGTGGTGCTAATGAGCTAAGGAAGTGAAAACTATAAGCTTTTCTTTAATAAGTACTATAGGCAATCGAGCAGAAGGAAAGCAGGGAGGAGTAGAGAATAAATTTTCAAGTAAAAAAAAAGCCAACTTCAAAACTTTAAAGTATAGGGCTTATTGCCTTTACATTTAAAGTGGTCTAAAAAAAAAAAAAGAAAAAAGAGAAAAGAAAACCACCTTACATTTTCTTTTTAAAGAAAAAAGATTTGCAGATGAGAATTATCGACAATGCCAAATCTTTTATAAACGATTATCTGCTACTCCTGCAGTTTATTAATTTAATATATCAAAATAATTTAACCTGATCAATCAATGTAATTTCATAAATGGACTATCTCTCTAGATATAATTTTATAAATATTTACTCCAAACATCTTACATCTATATCTTGCTTCCAAAAGACTAATGAGAGTGCAGTACAGACTACAAAGTAAAACCAGAGTTGATGTCACATTACAAATGCAGCAAAGCAGTATCTTGTGCCTCTTCCAACAATCACAAGTGACTGCCACAGTAATATTTAGCAATGGTCTCTAAGAATAAGCAAATGAATTAGCAGTTAACACACCAAAACCAGTAAACCTGATTCACAGGTTAAAAAAAATACATGTTTCGTTGCCTTAAAATCTTGGTCAATGTTAAGACCTTAAAAGAATTACATATTCATAATACAGCTAACTGTACTCTCTGAAAAGCAAAAAAACCAAGTTGTTTTAAAATGGTATGGATTTAACAAATCTTAATGTGCTTTTCCATGATTAAATGTGGCTCAGCTTTCTAATAAGTCATTATAAAGTTCTATTTAGAATAATGATTATCCATCAAATAAACAATAATTTCTTGTATTGTAAAGGGAAAGCCACAGAGTGATCTTTGGCTTAGTACACAATTTAATGCTTTTTAAATTAATATAATAAAGCTACCATTTACTTAGTATTTACTATATGTCAGATAGGTGCTAAGCGCCTAAATATATTTACAAGGCCTTTAATCCTCAGAACAACCCAATAAGGTTGACACCACTACTATCTGCATTTTACAGAGAAGGAAATTGAGGCTTCAATAATTTAAATTACATGAACCTAGAACCCAAGTATGCCTATTCCAAACACTGCTCTTAAACCTAACTAGAACTGCCTCTCTACATCTTCCTGGAATTTGCATCATAGTAGAAATATAAACAAGGCCGAATATTAACTTATTTTAAGTTGTAAAATGTTTAATAAATGTTAACTGATTACAATGGAAGTAAAATTTTTCTTAATCCTTCACAGGATTAAAAAAACTGTGTATTTTACAGCTGTTCATGATAACTGTGTGTATTTTACAGCTTATCAGGATAAGTCAAAGTGGGAATTTAAAAATTAGTTAATTGACGTAACTGAATGTGTAAGAAAGCCAATTACATGTAGGGTTTAGAAACGCAAAGGAAAATAATGAAAACCGAGCTGGATTAGGAATCTGGAGACTTGGAATTCACTCTCAGTTCTATCAATTTGTGTAACTTTGGCCCAGTCATTTACCTTTATGGCTCGTTTTTTTCTCACCTACAAAACAGTAGTGGTGGGTTAAATAACCCAATTTACTCTCATTTATCATACTTTTAGTTTTACCAGCTTTTAAAACAGAGGGAGAGATTACTTAAATCCTGAATTTTTGTTACAAAATACACATTTTGAAATAGGGATTGTATTTACTATGCTCAATTCCCCCAAATCCTTTGGGAACATGTGTTCTCTAAATAAATGTTTTAAGAGTAAGTGTATTACATACATATATCATTGATCCTGCTGACTCCAAAGGCTATGAGCTCTTAATCTCCCTTAACCTCATCGTCATCTTTCTTATATCACCTCAAGTAACGTCAGCTGTGTTTTTCTAACAAAACTTAAGAATAATTACTAGCGTAAAGCGCCCAGCACAGATCCTGGCACAATGCAGGAATTCAATAAATGGCTACTTAATTTCATTATTATTTGTATTATTCATAAGACTTCTTATATAAATAAAAAAACTGTCTGGATGGTATTAGTCCGGCCCAGGAAGTGCTGTGCTCCACATTCCTTTTCGGAAATAAACACTAAATCATCTCAAAACCGAGGAGACACGGGGCCAAGAGGGCATTTTGTAGCAACAACATTGTGTTTATATGAGTACCACGCCTAACCCCATAATTACAATACAAAAAACAAAACTGCTTCCTGGAATGGGCCACCCTGACTTGCCCGTGGACGTCCCTCCTTCCCAAAACAGACCAAACACCAACCACATAAAGCTCTTGTCGAGACTAAAGATCAAGACGGCCAAAGCACTCCTTGAGAAACTCACACCGGGCGCGGGGCATACCTTCAGCGTCACGCACTGCAGCCTAACCAGGGGCCACCCCTCCCCTCCTCCCCAGCAACAGGGCAGCCCCTGGAGAGTGGAAGAGGCGCTTGGGGTCTTTAATGGACCACTGTAACCATCCTCCTACTCCACGTCTCTCTCAAGACAGGCAGGGCGTGTCTAGAAAGTCCAGGGACAGAGCTGAGCACGCGAACTGGGACAGAGGGGCCGGAGCCAGAGGCATCACAGTCAGGCTCTCCCTCGGCAAAGAAAGCGAGAGCCCAGCCTGGGTACCTTGCGTCCAGCGGCAGAAGATGGTGTCAGAGAGACCGGGGCTGCTCTTGGTGCCCCACACCAGCTCCACCAGCTCTTTAGTCAGTTCGGACATGATGGGATACCGGCGGGCGGGTCTTCGCTTTCAGGACTCCGGCCCCGGAACATGGGGAAGGGGCGACTTCGGAGACAGCGGTTGAGGGACGACGACGACGGTTGCACGCGAGTTTGAAGGTGAGACAGGAGGAAAGCGAACGAGGAGAGAGCTACTTGCAGGGACCGCGCCTGTCAAGCCGGGTCAGAGCGGCAGCGAGAAGTCTCCCGTACCGGAAGTGCCAGGGCCATTTCCGGCTTCCCCTTAGCTCCCGCCCCCAGATCCGGAGGGGCCGGCAGTCACCTCTCCGGAAGCGGAAGTGAGGGGCGGGAACAGCCGCGGAAGGCGGTGGAGGTGACACCTAGCGTTTCACAGTTGAGCCTAGTAGGGTGGTAGTTTTATTTTGGGGGGGCACGTCCGGAGGGCATGGGCGTATTTCTACCCTCCTGGAACACCTCCTTCCCCTGGACACTGCTCTGGTCTCAGCTGGAGGCTCTGAGGCCCAAGCCCTAGGAAGTAAAACTAGTGCCCGTTGATTAAAATTTACAATATTAATTTTGCAAAACTGGAACTAGTAAGGCAGTGGTTGAGTCACGGTGAGGTAACATCCTTTCCTGTGTGGAGAGCTTCTCATAAGTTGGAGGCTGTCCACCTCTGTGCCTCAATCATAAAGTCGAATCAACTGTACCTAAAAACATGCAAAGAATGTGGCATGTGCATTAAGGCTGCCTCTACCAGGTGTCATGCAGAATGACAAGGCTATTTTTAGGGAAGCAGATTCAAAGCAACCTGTTTGTAAATGTTGTAGCATTTTCATCTCCAATTTTTGAGACTATAGGATGTGTAGGCAACACCTGCACTTTATAAAGTGCAGATTTTATTTATTAGCTAGCAGTTAAGTTTAGTTTATGTGTAAATTTATATTTGTGCTGCTTTTAGAAGGGGGTTTGAATTGCCTGAACTGTGAATTTAAAACAAAAGTGCAGTGAATGGACATAATGTGGAGTCAGTATAGCCAATGAGCAGCCATTCTAACATTGCTTAGCCTCATCATACTTTTCTAGCAGTTCACTTTAATTTCCTTCTAATCACTACTAGTAAAGGACAGAGCTGGTTTCTCAGAGGTAGCTATTGATAATTGCTTTACAACCCCCTCCCCAGTTTGTTTTGTAATCAAGTTAATCTTATCAGCTCTTCCTGACCTTCAGATACAGATCTCATCGATATGGCGCAGTTATGTGACTGACCCACCCATCATCTGACTGGTGTCCATCACATCAGTACTTGTGCTTACCTGCCGTGGATCAGACTACCACCCAATTGTCCTAAAGACCTCCCTTCCTCAAAGGGAAAGTTTAAAAAGGATTCAACTCCAAACAGCAGTTGCCACTGCTTTGTTAAACTCTGGTGTGTCCATGTGACTCTTTGAGCTATGGCTGCCGTATTTCCTATTTCCTTGAGGAGGTGACTCTCTTCTCTCTCCAATTTACTTTCTAAATAAATTACATTTTTCAATCTAACTTTTGTGCAGTTCTTTGCATCTTTCAAGCGGCCCTGGATCGCACCCTCCCCCCCCCTTCAGGCCTGACCTAACATTTAGAGGCCCTGCTGGGATATATTTTACCTAGCAGGCAAAATCTGATTTTCTAAAAAATACTGTGTTTTTATTTTTGGTTTGATAAGGAGGTTTTTGTATTCCTTGGAGAATGTTACTTTGGGATGAAATAACGCATAGTTAGGAGAGTAGTCTGTGGGTCAAACAGACCCAGACTCCTAGCTTTTGTATTTAACTAGCAAGTGATGAGCCCTCCACCTAAACCTTTTTCTTTCTAAAATGAGGTTTGTATAATTTCAAATATTTTAAGGAATAAATGGGAAAAGTAATACTACCAAGGAAGCAGTATAACTCCTGACACTTAGAAGTCACTTATACAACAGTGGATTTTTTTTTTTAACCTAAAGAAGACATCTTGTGGGAATTTGACACAGCACTAATTTTCTAACTCATAAATTCTAGCCAATTGTGTTTTAGTATAATAATATCTTATTTCTTTAATTTAAAAAATAAGCAGTTTCATGTAGAAGAATTTTTTTGCATTGATTAATTAAGGTAACCCTAATTGAAAAGATTTTAGGTTGCAAATAAGATTTTTGCTAGTTCATACTTTATTTTTAACTTAGCACCTTTTGCTGAAATCAGAGGGAATTGTCCAAAGAGACTGTACTATATTCATAGTATTCCTCCTGACTTTTATTCCTTTTAGAAAGCCCTTTGCCCTATTTTTGCAAATCAAATCTTACCTATCTGCCAAGATATAGAGTATGCATGACACTCTGTAATAAAGCTTTCTCCACTCATTACAATCCAACGTAATAATTATAACTTCAGAAGATTTATAGTACTTTATCTGTAACTTGTTTTGATAATTACTGTCATTTTTGTATTTGAAAATAATTATTTACTTCTTTTCCAGGGATGTAAGCTTGTGGAAGTCAAAGAAATGTCTATTAAACATGGAACCTTGAACATCACTGGATTTCAGTGAGAATTATTCAAAGGAAAGGAGCTTGCCTCTATTGGAAACTAAGAATTCATGGTCTTTCAGCAAGTGAGAGATCAGGAGAATTATTCCAGTTAAACATCTAATATTTGCATCCTTATTACAGTTACATAATTCTTTTTTCTTCTTGAGAGATGTAGAAAGGTCAATATTCATAAAGCCTACAATGGGCAGACCTCTAAGTTCTGCAGTGTTTGCCACATTTGATTTATTTCCATCAATAATTACATGGAATATTAATGGTATATATAGCATTACAACATATTCATTTTCTTCTCATTAATATACAGATAATAGTTATAGTTTTGATTGCCTGTCTATAAATACAGAGAAAAGGCTATACTTTCAAAATATATTCTTTGAGTGGAAAATTTCTTGTTCTGTGATTTTTTTTTTAACTTTCCAGCTACCACAAAGCTGGCAAAATCTTGGGTAGACATTGATATAGATGTCCTTTTCACCTTTACATTATATTCCTTATTTGAGATTCTTTAAGTGTTTTAATTAGCAGGACATATCTTTAACAAGGAATATTTGTTAAATTGTGTCAGCTTAATTATTCATTAGTTATTACATCTAAATAGAAATGCAAATTAGTATCCTTTAAAATGTTTTTATTCAGTAGTTATATATAAAATAAATATTAGAAGCTGTCAAGTTTTTACATTTATATCTGTACTGGATGTTAATGCCTTTCTCTTTTGTTATAATGACTTGAAAGTTATGTAAATGTTCTTTGATGTATTTATATCATTTCATATTTTTGCATATTGTTTTTTCCTTGGGACTGTCTATAGTTTTATATCCTTAAGGTATATATGGGTTGCATCAATAATCTTTAACTTCCTATTTATATATAAGTTTCATTAGCCATACTTCTCTTTTAAATTCAAGTCAGAACACTTTCAAAAAACTGGGCTAAGATTTCCATCATAATTAATTCTATTTAGCCATCTTTACCATTTCACAGCAACAAAATTAATTACTCATTATCAAGACCTAACTCTCTGTTTAATTACTTTCCTGTCTTCCCTTAAACTTTCATGCCAAATAAGAACATCATAGCTTCATTACCCAGTTTCTAGCAACTACCATGCAAAGAGCAACTCTCCAACTTAAAGGCCTCAACTCCTATTTTAATGTATTTGCACTACTACTTATCTAGGAGAAATGAAATTTTTTCAAAAACCTACCCTGCAATAAGATTAATTGGTTTTAGGCAAGTCATTAAAACAACCTCATACTCATTTATTAATAAAATGTTTTCATTTATATGCCCTCTGCCTTTCAATAACAGCATAAATCTTCAAGACAAATGAAATGACTTTAGTTTGCATCATCCTAACCTCATCTCACCAGGATCATTTTCCCTGCTGAGCATACCAAGTCCCTTTAAAGCTACCGGCATCATACTCAAGTATGGCCTAGAGTATCAATTCCCAAAATATTTCCTACCAACTTTAAAACATGGTGAAAATGGGATTCTGTCATTTAATCCTTGGTTAAGTAAATGTATACAAGTTGTTTACTGAGAATCTCCAAGACTAGGGATTGTATTTAATGTTAAGAGACACATTTGAATCATTTCATTCACTAACTTTCTCACGTAGTTTATGTTCTGCAAAATACTGTTAGAGAATCCCTGGTGTAATCAAATAGTCTTTTGAATGGCTTAGATTATCTGAATATCAGTCCCTATTTGAGCACTAACTATGACCGTATGTGAGTCCTTTAACTAGCTAGACCTTCCTTTCTTCTATACATTAAGATAACTAAATATATAGTTATACATTTATTAACTAAATGTATAATTCTATACATTAAGATAACTAAATTCAGACTATCTCTTAAGATCTCATTCAGTCCAGGTTCTGATCACATCAGTCTTGAACTTAAAATATATGAGAAGAATGGGAAGAAAACGAATGTTGACTAATTAGTGTTATTTTTACTAAGACATAGAACCAGAGACGGTATTTACCATTTTATTACTTACTTATGCTAACATTATGAAATGAGAAGGTCAAATCCCAATGTGTATATTAATCAACGACTGGCTGTATTAAGTGAGCATATAATATTTTCAGACTTCAATGTGTCCTAGGCACCTCAAACTCCGTGTATGCCAGATCGAATACATTTTTTCCCACAAATTCTGCTCCACTCTTAATGTTGTGTATGTCAGTGAATGGTACCATCAACTAAAGAAAAAAAAGACTCATTCTTTTATGTTCTCAATTGAGATAGAGTAAATAACCTCATTTGATGTTTGTTTACCATATTCCAAAAATGATTTTATTAATAGTGATTACATCATATGATGATTGTGCTATTTAACAGGTAACATCGGATGTAAAAGAAATGTGAACAATGAAAAACTATTTTTCTGTGAGTTTTGCTAATTATTTGGATAACGCATTATAAAGAAGCAAAAATGGAATATGAATTATTTCTGTCTTTGAATTGGATTAAAATTTTAGAGAAGTTTGAGCTGGATAGAATTTTGACTAGAGAATAAAGGGAAGATATGCATTTTAGGCATGAAATTCTATCATGGCAGAATCCTTGCGTTTGTGTTACTATACAGAGGTGAGTCAGAAATAACAGGTTGTGGAGTATGCAATAGACTGAATTATGTTCCTCCCAAATCCATGTGTTAAAGCTCTTACTTCGAATGTAACTGTTTTGGAGATAGAGCCTTTAAG